AAAGAGATACAATCGCTTCAACGACATATTTTACTTCATTCAGTTCGCCTTTCACAAGGTCTTTGACCTGTCTGAGGTCGATCGCATCATCAAGGTGGATGCCGACATGAGATTAATGACCGACATTCGAAAACTTTGGCGGGAGTTTGATGAATTCAAAGAGGAGACAATATTTGCGCTGGCTCAAGAGCAACAACCTGTAAATTATCGAAGGTTTGCGATAGCACGCGTGGCTGTTGGTGACGACAGGCTGGGCATGCCGCCACCTGGTGGTAAACCGGGTTACAATGGCGGCCTCTACCTCATCAACCTCGACCACATGTCGAAATCTAAGAAATATCAGGCGGCGGTAGCCGAGAGAAATCTGAGATATTTAATGCGAAAGTACTATTTCACGAAATCGCATCTCGGTGACCAAGAAGTGGTGACGATATTGGGCATGGAGTATCCCGAACTGTTTCACACGCTGCCGTGCACGTGGAATCGGCAGCTGTGCCGCATGTATGCGCGCTCCATTACCATGCCCTCGGCTTTATTCGAACTGTTCAACCGATGTGACGGAGCGGTGAACTTGTACCACGGCAACTGTCACACGCCATTTCCACCCGAAGCTGAGTTGTAACTGAGCGCGTATGTGCATGTTGTGTCGTGCGGCTCTTAACGCAATTCTAGTTTAATCGCAACGACGTGCATTGTATTTGGCATATTGATATTATCAGGAGCGTATAATAATAAGCCGGATAATATATATGATATATGATATATGATATATATATGATATATAATAATAATAAGGAAGCTACGCGGTTTGTAATACTACCGGAAGATAGAATAAGGACCAGTGAACAAAAGAAGCTCATGTTTGTATACATTTGTATTTTTATTCACATCGAACTCGTACGACAAAAATGTAGTGAAATCAGTACCAAATCGTTGTCTTACCCCGTTGTCATTATACGCTCCTGATATTATGCTTTGTATATGATTATTAATTAAGGAGAAACTTAGGAAAGTTGTGAGCAACTTTAGTTGCACTCCATTTGGGAAAACAGTGGACAAAATATATAGTCCGCATTTAAAAGATAATATAATTGTAAATGGCGCTCCGTAGCTATGAATGAGTTTAATAAATTTTCACGTTGCAACGCGAAACTTTGTTGTTGTTTCAAGCCCCTAACGCTATTCAATTAAGAGCATTTATGATATAAGAACATTCGGAGTGTATGCCATTCGGGATTGCTAGCAATTGGTTGAATCCCTTAATAGTTATTTACTTATTTCTACCCATTAGGATTGCCAGACGTAAAGAAAGCTCGCTAAAATCACTGGATGCAGTATCATGTCCACCCGCTCACGCTACATCTATATGTATTCAACACCCGCACGCGGTGTTCATATATATAGATGCAGTGTGAGCAGGCTGGTATGCAGCTCTAGAACTATAGTCCTTCGCTCTGCCTGTGGCATGATACTGCAGCCAGCGAGTAAAAGAGCAAGATTCCAATTTGTGTTTTGTGTTGTATGTTGAATTTTGCGAGCGTTAGGGCACTTTATATATTGTGCTCGTGGCGTTACATAAGGGATTCGTCATCGCGCGAATAATAAATGCATGTTTGTGAGTTAAACGAAGAACAAAAGAATAAATATGATGCAGATTTTCCCATCTTATATTCTCGTGCACACGTTGCATTCGGTACCACGCGGATACAGAGTGCTATTACTGCCCTTGGTCGCGTAGACAAATATCGTTCCATTCGAAACATAACCGTCTGAAAGTATTTAGCATCTCAGAAACGATAGCTGTCGAATTAATAAACTAACGCCATGATTGTGCTTTCAATGTCAGCGCAGGTGTGTCAACGACAGATGTGGAATGTGCGCTTACCAACAAATACGCAATGAATTCTATGCACACATACAAACGAGCCAAAAATAATACCCTCCGCTACACTTCGTGCGGAGAATAAATACGCGATGGACTCTATCTCACATAGTCGCGGTAAGATTGTGCAGAGCCTACATACATAGCATGCCAGAGATATACGTACCTCATTGTTGGAAAAGCTCACGTAGCAAGGGAGAAAGAAAGGAGAGGAAGAAGGAGAGCGAGAGAGAAAGCAATATGGCGGGAGCTATTTAGGGAGGAGAGCGCGATAGGGAACCCCGAGAGAGATGACCACGTTATATTTTAATTAGCGTTCACTTCTAGGTTGGGACAAGTGTCATGTCAAGTATTCTGTCTCTGAAGCGCATATATATGTCTCAAAAAATGTGACACCAAATGTAAACGGGGCATTCGCACCGTTGCCACGTCTGCGCAGCGTGATCTTGACATTGCTGGCTCTTAATTCCGCTGCCAACACATCCCTGAGTTATCTATCTTGCGTGCATGATGCAAATTAGTGCATTCTACTGCCGATTTTTATCCCCCCAAAAAATCAAAAGAAGGTCTTTTTCAGAGACGAAATAGTGCAACATTGGTGACAAATTTGCGAAAGGTTACTGTTGTATGCCCCCTATAGGACGAGCAGAGCAAACGAATGCTGCGCCTTTGGTGTAATAGATTCACATATTCGATAATACGTGCTAGCGGTACCCTTTTTTGATCAATTACCGATTTCGAATAACGACCGCAGACAACTACGTAGTTACACCGGGCGGGCAGGCGGGCGGGCGGGCGTATGGTGGCCGAGATGGCTACGGATATTTTTATTCCAAATTCATTTTTATTTCAAATTTATTTTCATTTCAAATT